CTAATAATTTTTAAACAAAAAGTGTTAGAAGATTTAATACAATTTAAATCAAGCATATAAATATTATTTACCTTATTTTTATGCAACAAATCAACTCCATTTTGGTTTATAATGTAGCTTGTAGGCAAAAAAAATATGTTAAAACCCTTATCATAAAGCTGATTGATAATTAACAAGTTATGTTTCAAGCCTTCTACCATTAAACATTTTAAATCAAAAAATTATTCATATTGCAAATCATATATGATCCTACCACTCTCCTAGTGGTGTTATCTCTAAGTGTCCCTTTCTCTCCATTCCTGGCCTTCAACAGTATAAATCAATTCGCCTCTAGTCATATATTTAGAACATCTGTTGTCTAAGTACTAAATGCTATCATGAGGGCTTTTATGAGAGCATTTCTATAAAATTATCAAACGCTAGACTTGGAAAGCCAAGTAAATTTGGGTTCTGCTCTGGACAATGATAACCAAGATGCATATTTGATATGATGTGATTGATGAATCTTAGGTCTCCACATTAGATGTGTTCAATGATGAATAGTGCAAGTGTGGGAAATATATCCCATCATTCCACATGAAAATCAATTAATATAAGGAAAGGATTTTCCAATCTATGTAAGTTATAATATCTTTTCTTAGACTTTGAAATTATGAAATTGTTCAAGTATGGGAGGTATCTTATTTTCCTTAAAAACTTTCAATTTTTCTTTAAGATATGAGATTGCACTTTTTAAAATTTAATTTTCAACTTTCAACTCACGTTCGCTTTGATTTGATTCAACTATAAATACCTTAAAATTAATTTTAAGTTCATTATAAGACGTTTTTAATAAGTCACGCTCCTTATTCAAATTATCAAATTTATCTTGCGAAGTCATGTGGTTTCTATCTATGTTTGCATGATCTTTCCTAAGATTTTCATACTCTTTTTGTAAATTCAAATACTCATTGTTAAGATTTGAAAGCAATTTTTTGCGTTACCTATATACATTATGATTTTTCTTGGAAACATCAAATAAATCATCATAGGATAGGTGACATACCTCATCTTAATCTGAATGGTCAAGCTTGTCTACCATTCAGTGCAAGTTTGTGACCTCCTATTCTACTTCTATCTTTAGAGAGTTTGAAGTTTAGTAAGCCCAAAAAGATCTTTGCATCCTTTTGTTGCGCATTCTGACATTAGTTTTCTCCTCAGCTTTCTCCTTGCTAGGATTAGCCTTGAGATTTGGGCACTCTATCTTTATATGTTTAGACTTTCTGCAATCATAACAAATGACTTTATTAGAAATCTTTAGATTTTTAATGAACTTACCTTTGTTACAATGCTGAAGTTGTTGTTACTTTCTCCTAAGGAAACTATTGAAATGCTTATTCATAAGAGAAATATCTTCATCATCTTCTAGCTATGACTGATAACTTTCTGAATCATTAATCTTCAAAGATATAATTCTCTCCTTCCTTTTGTCACCTGCAATAATCAGTCTTTGATTCACTCCTTGCTCGTAAGCAATAATTGATCCAAGAAGATTGTAAATTAAGTATACATTTAAATCTTTAAACTTAGTAATGGTAGTTATCTTTGCATCATAGGCAGTAGGAAAACAATGTAAAATTTTATTTACTTTTTTAAATTTGCAAGCTCTCTACCTAAAGCATGCAATGTGGTAATAATCTGGGTAAAACTTGTATACATATTAAAAATTGACTCTTTTTGTTTCATGCAAAAACATTCATAGTCATGTAATAAATTGTTCAACCTAGTTTTCTTTATCTCATTTGTCCTTTCTTAAGTTATGAACGGTCTATCCCAATTTTTTTTGTCTAGATTTACAAGTTGAAACACGCATATAATCCTAAGATTGCAAGGCATAGAAAAAACTGTTTAAATATTTTGCATTTAACTATACTAAACCCCTTTATTTAACAATGCATTCAGTAAATAGTATTTCAATTCTAATTCTATCCACTATTCTTACAAGTTTAGTATAAACTTTTTGTACTAACATCCACATACGATAGTTAAGTGATTGCAGAAAAGTAGACATGTGAGTTTTCCAAAAATTAAAATGAATGTTGTCAAATAAAAGTGATCAAGTGATAAATTTCCTTTAATAGTGTTTTGGTTTACAAAATTAGCCAGGATCATTTTTGAAAGTAATCTAAACCTTAATTTTTGAAATTAGCTCTGATACCACTTGAAAGTTCATGTTGGTTGTTAGACCTTACTGAACTTTTCCAATACTAACCAAGAGGTGGGGTGAATTGGTTATAAAAAATATTCCTGGATTTTGGAAAACCTTTTCCTCCCTTTTTAAAACATTTTTTTGAAAATTAAAAAAAATACTAATATTGAACTATGCAGCTATTTGCAGAAATGATTTTCACAGATATCTTTCAACCATAAATATAAAAAATAGTGAAATAAAATGCAAGAAAAATAAAAAGTAATAGAAGAACACTAAATTTTATAATGGTTCGATCCAACAAGACCTACATATACTCTCTAGAGACTTCTTCTCTAGGTATTACACCAATCAAAAGTGACTCTCCATTTGTCCCCACAGCAAGGCAGAGAAGCCCTTATAAATTCTCTTATACCATCCCAGTGTGGCAGAGAATCATTGCCTTTATAATCTCTAAGTGATGTCAATGTACCTTCTCATCCTTTTTCACCCAGCTGGTAAAGGAAGAGTATCTACACATCCTTTTTCATCCAACTAGTTAAGGCAGAGAATCATGCATCCTTTTTCACCCTCCTGAGGAAGGTAGAGTACCATCAACATCTTTTTTATCCTTCTGGTGAAGGTAGAGAACGTTTAATATTTTTTTCACCCTCCTGGTGACGACAAAGAACCTTGATCCAGTCTTGAAGATATTCTCTCAAGAGACTCTAAAGAAGTTGGGAAGAAATTAGAAAAAGAAAAAAGAGATCCTCACTTTGCACAACATTATGAATCCCTCACAATTCTCTTTTACTATTCTCTCACTCTCCAATCTAAAAATCTCTGTCAAACACACTCCCAATAGTCACTGTCAAGAGAGAATTCAAAGAAAAGGACAAAGATGATAGTTTTAGGACCCTATTTATAAAGAACACATTAAAAAACCATTCAAAAACTAATTTTTTCTAGAGAACCATGCAAGGTTCATACTGTACAATCATAGATTATCTGGTATGAATAGTTCAAAAATTATGGCTTCGTTTGCATATAGACTAGGATGAACTTAGTTTTATATGTTGTGGGTTGTCTATACGAGTTTGAATCTTACATTACAAATAGTTTAAAAATAAACAAGTTTGTATGATTGGCTATCATACAATATGATCAGTTAAAAATTAAGCCATGATTTGAGTAATCAGATATTGGAGAAAAAAACTAAGTCAAATCATACAATACATTTATATATCATATAGTATGATCAATTTTATTAATTTTATGCACTCACTCTATTTATATGTTCATGGTTACCCAATTACAATTACACTTACTCAGACTAAAGAAATAAAAATAAAGATATACAAACTCTTTTACATGAAATCCTATTCTACCATGTCTTGAAGTCTTCAGCAATTTGCAGTAATATATGATTTTCATGAAATATTTGTACTCATAGAAACAACCAGAAATATCTTATATATGTTAGGAGAAAAGTGATTAAATCATAATTATAATATTTTATTATCATAAAAACCACAATCTCATTCTTATTTACTAATTTGCAACAATCTCCCCCTTTTTGATGATGGAAAAAATAATTATTATTCAAGAAATAAATTAAAGCTCTTTTCTCTTGAACTCCCCATAAATAAAAAAAAAAAATTAAACTTCATGAGGATAAATAATTTTTTCCCTCTTTTTATGTTTTTAATTTGGATTTTTATAAACAAATACAAAATAAACTACAAAGCAAAACAACACAAAAAAATAATACAAACACCAAAAAAAAAACTTTATACAAAAAAAATATGACACGAATCATAAGAAAACTTCAAATAAATATAACCAATAAACATGAGCAAAAAATAACCTCCACTAGAAAGCATTTTGACATAGAACTAAATTAAAAACTTAAATTCAAAACAAAAACACAAAATACAAACTTGAATACTTCAAACAAATAATAACTTCCTACTTTTGACATTAACAAAAAAGGAAAGAAAATAAAAAATCCTCTAAATATGAAAACTTGTATTGACAGATCTAAAAAGCTGATAAGGAACATAAATTTAAAAATTTGCAAGACAATATTAAATTCCTGAAGCAAAAACTTTTTTTAAACTCATATTGTAATCAAACTTACTCATAATATATACATCATTATTCTAGTGAGAGAAAATTTCAAATAATTTGAAAAATTTCTGTTCCCTATTTTCACTCCCTCCATTCAGGAGCTAACTGGGGCTATGGCGGTCGATGGCTGGCGGCCATCTTTGGCTGCGATGACTGAAGACAGTGTAGACCTTGAAGTTATGAGGCACAACCTGACTGGTGATGTTTGTTTGAGGGATGGTGCAAAGAAATCGATAACTGATCCTGTGATCAGAGCTGCAACTGGTCCTTTGGTTATCAGGGACAATGTTGTTGATGTTCCGATGATGATAGCATATGTGGAAGGAAAAGGAAAATCTGTTGTGTGTGATAATGAGATTCAAACCCCACGGGTTACCAGGAATTCTAAGGAGAAGATGAACGTTGATCTATTGGCATCTTCCTCGGAAATGAATATTTATGTTAACAGGTTCGGATATTCAAATGCAATCTCAGGACCTGTCCTTGAGATAAATGCGAATTTTAATTTCCCTGTTAACATAAATTTGCATTTTGAGGACAGCTTAACCACAAAGGAGGTTGGAATTGTGGATAAGGTGAATGAAGTAATGCCTAGTAGGAATGGCATTAATGTAGAAAATAACCCGGGAAGAAAAAACCATACATTATGCTGGATATCAAAGATGAAGAGAGAGTTCTTGCTGAAGATGGATCAGCTGTAAAGATGAAGGAAGATGCTGAATTGGTTAATGCTGAAAGGCTAAAGAATTCCTTAGTTATTAAGGTTTTTGGAAAGGAGATTCCAGCACATGTTGTTGCTTGGGAAGTAAGGAGGCAATGGAAGCTATTTGGGAATTTTCATTTCACAACCTTGGGCAAGGGTTGGTTCTTGTGTTCTTTTGAAACAAAATACATGATGGAAGGAGTTTTGTCGGGTGGTCCTTGGTTTGTTAACAGCCACATAATTGGAATGGAGAAATGGACGGTTGAATTCTCTACACTTTCCTTGAAGGGTCTTACATCCCCTATCTGGGTAAGGATTCCCTTCTCTGCTGGGATGAAATCAATGTGGCTAGGATTGCTTCAGCAATTGGTAGGCCTATCATGATGGGTGGAAACATGTTTTAATGGGGGAAAAGGGAATTTGCCAGAATTTGTGTGAGGGTCAAGTTGGATCAGATACTCCCCTTAGGTGTTTGGGTGGAGACTATCTCAAGAAGCATTTTTCAAAAATTTGAGTACGAGAAGATCTCTACATTCTGCTATGAATGTGGGTTGATAGGGCACATAAAAGCAGATTGTGAAAACAAGAAGAAGGACATTATGGAGAAGGTTGCTGAGCATGGAAAAAAGGGAGAAGCTACTGTTACAGAAGATGTTTTTGGAATGGAAGATGAATCCACTTATGGGCCATAGATCATGGTTAAAAAGAAAAACAATACAAGAACAGGAAAGCTAAAGGAAAGTAATAATAGAGTAAGAAGACAATGGAGGAAAACAGATGTGGAGCACAAGGAGGAAGCTGCTGTAAAATAAGAAAATAACAAGTAAAAGTTGGTACTATAGCTGCTGATAATCAACCGAAGAATGGAAAAGTTCTTTTAGCAGTTGATAGGCAATTTAACAAGCTGCAGGATACTATAGTTGTAGATGCAGAATTGGAGGTTCGTGGATCTATTGATAATGCAATGAACTCCAGGGAAGATGAGGAAAATAAGAATGTTCAAGCCAAAAATGTGGGAGAATAGAGAACTTCTGATGGAAATATGGAGGTTGATTCAACCAGGGAAGGATCTATATGGGCAGGTAACAAATTTGAACTGTTGAATTCTTTATGTGAAGAGGAAAATAATGAGGATATTCGTGGGGTTAATTCCTTTGAAGGGGAATTGGAAGAAGGTGAAATAATGAGAAATATGGAGGATAATCTATTCAAAGATAAGGTGGTTAATAAACAATAAATGGTAGAAGAGAATATTGTTATTGAGGAGAGTGGTTTTCTAAATGCTGAGAAAAATTCTGCACAGAAGATTAAACTAGCAAAGGAGTTGAGACATTTGGGCCCGCTGAATTTGGCTACAAGGCAAGGTAGAAGTAATATGAATAAGAGGAAGGGTGGGGAAATTCCCCCATTAAATTCCAAATGAGTTCTATCAGTTTCTAGAATTGTAGGGGGGCGAACAAGAAGGAGGCCTCCCTATATTTAAAGGAGTACATTAAAAAATTGGATGTTTTTTTTGTAGGCACTGTTGAAACAAAGATAATTTCTCTGTCCAATGAGGAATTTATCAAAATAATGGGTGAAGAATGGGATCTTATCTAGCAGCCATCTAGAGGGAATTCTAGTGGAATTATGGTGATTTTGAGGAAGAATGTGGCTTCTTTTTCTTTGATCAAGACTTCAGACCAGTGTTTGTTTGGAGAGTTATAAATTTTAAGCAAAAACAAGTGGAGGATTGCTACTATTTATGGTAATAGAGAGTTCCAAGGTAGAAGATAATTATGGAATTTTCTTGATGGAATGGTTGATCAGGACATTCCAACTATCCTTGGAGGTGACTTCAACTGCATACTGTCTCAAGAGGAGAAGAAAGGTGGGAAGAAGTATTCTTTCTCTCATGGGACTTTGGAAATGAAGGCATTTATGAACAATAATAACTTACATGATGTAGGTATTATTGGTGCTAAATTCACTTGGTGTAATAATAAGATAGGAAGTGCACGGATATTAGAAAGGCTTGATAGATGCATGCTGAATTCAAAAGCTTTGGAGATGGTTAATCTAACAGCTGTGAGACATTTGAGTAGAATTGCATTGGACCATTGTCCCATTGTCTTGAAATTATTTCAACATCAAGTTCAAAAATCCAGAATTCAAAAATTTGAGGATGTTTTGATATCATATGCAGCGGCAACTTCTGTGATCAGGAACTCATGGTCCAAATCTATAAGAGGTGATGATATGGAAGCTTTAAATAAGAAAATGTCTAGAGTTCTTAAAGCATTATTTTTTTGGAGTAAGGCTAAGCATCAAAAGATGGAAGTTTTGAAGGAAAAGCTGAAGGAAGAGATTGAAATTCTGCAGCAGGAAGAGGCTTCAAGCTCGCAATTCTCGAACAGCAAAGTACTTATCCTGAGAGCCAAAGTTAAGGAATTCAACTGTACTCTTGCAAGGTTGAATACATGGTGGAAACAAAGAGCCAAAGCCAAGTGGATGAAGGAAGGGGATGCAAACACTTCCTTCTTTCATGCATTTGTGAATGGAAGAAGAAATGGGAATTCTATCAAGCAAATAAGAGATGAGGATGGAGTATAAACTGAAGATGAAGACTGTATAAGAAGAAACTTATTTCAGTTTTATTCCAAGAAATGGAAATATAGAGATTGCATTCTAGACAATTGGCCCATGAATGAAAACATCTTGAAACATGAAGATTGTGGTATCCTGGAGTCTGAATTCAAGCTAGAAGAAGTAGAGAAAGTTATTAATGTACTTGGCAACAACATATCACCTGGATTGGATGGAATTACATATTCCTTTCTTAAAGCTTATTGGAAGATTATTAGGATGGATGTGTGGAAAGCCATCCAACTTTGCTTCAGTTCAGGGAAGATGTCTTCAAGGTGGAAGGAGACTTTAGTGATTCTTATTCCCAAGGTAAGTAATCCTATTTCTCCAAATAATTTCAGACCTATAAGCCTGTGTATGTCAATATACAAAATAGTTGCAAAAGTTCTATTAATAATACGACTTATTAATGCTTAAATATCGTAGAAAAATTCATTCATCAAATTTAGGATCAAATTTTCCTAAAAGAATTTTCCCATTATTATGAATGAACACTTTACATCCAAAGACATATAGGTGAGAGGTTGGGTGTTCTACCATTAGGAAGTTCATAGGGTGTCTTAATCAACTTATATCTAATGTTTACCCTATTTAGAATATAATATATTGTATTATTCACTTCAGTCTAAAAATATTTAGGAAATGAATATTCAACCAACATGGCTCTAGGAGCTTTTATTAAAGTAATATTTTTTCTTTCAATAACTACATTATGTTAAGGAGTCCTAGGGGCTAAAACGTTATGATTTATCCCTTGTTCTTTGTAGAAAACTTCAAATTTTTTATTTTTAAATTCTCCTTCATGATCACTTTGAATTGTAAGAATTTTAATACCTAGCTTCCTCTGAATCCAAGTAGAATATTTTTTAAACTCTTAAAATTATTCACTTTTATGAGATAATAATCTAATTCAAGTGAAATTTAAATAATGTTCAACAATCAGATACCCAAAAGTGTTCCCTCCTTGACTTATAGTGCTAACTAGTCTAAAGAGATCCATGTGAAAGACTTCTAAGGGTTTGCTAGTTCTAATATCATTAATTGAATGAATGGAGGACTTGACTTATTTTCTTAATTGACATGCATCACACAGGTGATCCTTAATGAAGTTTAATTTTGGTACGCCTCTTACCAATTTTTTATGGGTAATCTTCCTACGATTTTTTATGCTTATATGATAAAGTCTTTTATGCCATAACCAAGATTTATTTGTAACAATTTTTAGACCAAAATTATTAAAAGATTTAACACTATTTAAATCAAGCATGTAAATATTATTTAACCTATTTCCATGCAACACATCAACTTTATTTTGGCTTATAATGTAGCTTGTAGGAAAAAAATTTATGTTAAAACCTTTATCACAAAGCTGACAGACACTTAATAAGTTATGTTTTAAACCTTCTACTAATAAGCATTTTCAATTAAAAAATTATTCGTATTAACAATCATATATGATCCTACCACCATCCTTATGGTGTTATCTCCAAGTGTCTCTTTGCCTCCATTCCTAGCCTCCAGTAATATAAATTAATTCACATCTCTAACTATATATTTGGAACATTTATTATCTAGGTACTAAATTCTTTCACAAGGGCATGTATGAGAGTGTTTCTAAATAAATATTAAATGTTAGACTTGGGAACCCAAATAAATTTGGGTTCTCCTCTTGATAATAATAATATAGATACATGTTTGATATGTTGTGATTGATGCATCTTAGGTCTCCACATTAGATGTGTTGTATGAAAAATAGTGCAAGTGAGTGAAATATGCCCCATTATTTCATATGAAAAGAATTTAACACCAAGAAAATGATTTACCAATCTATGTAAGTTATAATATCTTTTCCTAGACTTTGAAATTATATGCTTTTATTCAGTATTATAAAATTATTCAAGTGTGGGAGGTTTCTTATTTTCCTTAAAAGCTTTTAGTTTATCTTTAAGATATGAGTTTGCACTTTCTAAAACCAAATTATTAACTTTTAGCTCATATTCTCTTTGATCTGATTTAACTATAAACACCTTAAAATCATTTTCAAGTTCATTATAAGATTTTTAAATAAATTCTGCTCCTTATTCAAATTATGAAATTCATATAGTAAAATCATATGGTTGCTATCTATGTTTACATGATCTTTCCTCAAATTTTCATACTCTTTTTTGTAAATTCAAATACCCAATGTTAAGATTTGCATGCAAGTTTTTGAGTGTCCTATATGCATTATGAATTTTCTTAGAAACATCAAATAATTCATCATAGGATAGGTCACATACCTCCTCTTGTTCTGAATGATCAACCTTGTTTGCCATTAAGCACAAGTTTCTGACCTCTTCTTCTACTTCTATTTCTAAAGATTCTGAAGCTGAGTTAGCCCAGAAAGCTCTTTGTATCATTTTCTTTCCCTTCCTGGCATTTAGTTTTTTCCTCACCTTTGTCCTTGCTAGGATTAGCTTTGAGATTTAGGTACACCTGACTTTATATGTCTAGGCTTTCTACAATTATAACCAATGGCTTCATTAGAAATCATTAGATTTTTAATGAACTTACCTTTATTCCAATAATGATGTCATCATTGCTTTCTCCTAAGTAAACTTTTGAAATGCTTAGTCATGAAAGCAATATCTTCATCATCTTCTAACATTAACTAATCACCTATATCAATCTAACTTTGACTCACTCCATACTCATATGGAATAAGTGAAACAAGCATATTATCAATAGAGTATACATTAAAATCTTAAGAATCGATAATGGTATTTATCTTCATGTCATAGGTAATAGGAAAATAATGTAAAATTTTATTTACTTTTTCTAAATTTTTAAACTCTCTATCTAAAGCATGCAATGAGGTAACAGTCTGGGTAAACCTTGTATTTATATAAAAATTACTCTCATTTGGTTTCATGCAAAAAAGCTCGTAGTCAGGTAATAAAATGTTCAACCTAGTTTGCTTTATCTTTTTTGTCCCTTCATAAGTTATACAAAGTTGATCCCAAGTTTCTTTTCCAATTTTACAAGTTGAAACATGCATATAATCCTCAGATTTCAAGGAACAAAACAA